TAGCGAGTGTTCAAACGCTTTAAGGCTCTTCGCGAGAGTGATGAAGTGCCTCGGTCGAGGATCAGGGAGTTCTCGCGGAAAGAATTCCGGCACGGAGCGCCGACAATGTCTAATCAGGCGGTTGTGCGCGCCGGGAAAAAGCGTTCCCACGGAATGTTAATGCGATCTTCATCGGCACCTCTTAGCATCGCAAGCATGCCGAGAAGGTCCGCTTCGTGCGAGACAACCGGAGCGACACGACGACCTCGCCGAACGTCGACGACGTCGGCGTTTGGTCTCGGCCTGGTCACAGCCGCGTACAATCACATTGTTGCGCGATAATATAATGCCATGAGGCTCGTCTTGATTATCCGCGAGCCAGCGTAACGCCGCGACGGCGATTGTTCGCCGTCGCCGCCGCCGCCGCCGCCGCCGCGCCGCAGCGGGCCACGCCGCTGCCGACGAAGGATGTGCGCGCCTGCGCTGGAGATTTATCTACATTTAATGAAACTGCCGACTTCCTAGCCGCGATTCCTTCCGCGTTGATGTCGAAGCGCGGGGTCGCCGCGCTCGCGCGCTGCACTTCCTCTCTCCTAACCGTTCCTTCCTTACGCTTCGACTTTTCCTGAGCGACAGAGTATATATTTATGTAATTTCCTAAGTGTTTCTCTCTGCCATACCGTTGACCCCGGCGGGGTTAGCCGGGTTATAGAGTGGAGATTATGCGAGAACCCCGGGGATGCGCCTTTACTCGCGAGCGAGCGAGCGAGCGAGCGAGCGAGCAGTGATCTCTGAATCCGCGCATTATCTCGCCGTGCATTATCTCGCGGATAAATGTTTCATTGTTGCGCCTCTTTGCCGCGGCGGCGGTGCCGTGCTCGCGCGCGTTCTCTGCCGATCGCTTCAGCCCGATAGCGGTCCGTCGATTTATACGATTCTACTCGATATCGCCGTGAGTTCTCGCACCGAATTATTCCGCCATATTTATGAATACAGACACTCGCGATTAAACGGCCTTTCGCTGGGACGCCGGCGCATACCAAATAATTATTATTCTCCTATTCAATTTGCAACGCCAATTAATATTAACGTTTGCGCGCAACAACACAATAAATCGTGCCGGAATAAATTAACGCTAATTATTTGACCGAATTCCACGTGGCGTAACGCTGCCCGATCGTGCTTCTCGCGTATTGAAGCGGATTAAAGAGCGCGACCGCAATTCTGTATTTTTCGTGCAACCTCATCCGCGCCGGCAGATCGGACTAAGTTTTTACTCCTTAACGCTCCTCTCTCTCTCTCTCTCTCTCTCTCTCTCTCGCTCGCACTTCTTTCCGCCTCCTTTTCCGCTTCTTCCTCCTTTAAACGCCGTAACGTTTCTTCGGGGATTAGGCGGATTATGTCTCCCGCGCCCGGACCGGACGAGCGAGACGATGGCGCGCGCTTGTTCAGGAAATTTGCTTCGACAGTTGGCTCGTTCATGCATATATTCACCGCCGGCGCTCTCTTTTCCACGGTTTCCTCAAATACCAGCTCGCGGCCATGGGGGACGGGGGGAGGGAGGAGAGGCCAGGCGTCTCGAAACGCATAGCTATGCCACTTTTGATACGGTTCCGCCTGGCCAAGGACCTCTCGACCCTGTCTCGGGTCGGAGCCAAGGTACAGCTCTGGGGGTCGTTGCTAGAGACCAGCTGGCAGAGACCTTTCGCTTTGGAGGCTTTCAAGGTGTGCACGTGCACATTCACCCGGCACGCTCGCCTCACGGACGCGAACCTTGACGCGTCGGCGTGATACCGCATAAACGCGCGCGCGCACGCTCGTTCGTTCACTCGCCGCGCTGTGCAACACCGAGCTCTATCGAAATCGGAAGACGCGCCGCCGCCGCCGCCGCCGCCGCCGCCGCCGCCTCCACCGCCGCCACCGCCGACCTGTCGTCTTCCGCATGCCTGGCCAATGAAAAGTGTCTGATACTCTGACGTTTCCCACAACTAACCCATCTAATTTTATTTATGTCCTGGCAACTCCTTCGCACGAGCAGAAAATTCACCGCGAGAAAGAGAGAAGGGGGAAAGGGGGAGGTGATGAAGGAGGCAAGAATGAGCGATGTGTTTTAATAACGAGCGAACGAGGCGGCGAGAAAAACGTAGGCGAAATTATAATACAACGCACGAGCGAAGGCCGAGGAGAAATCGCACTGAATAGCGCGGCGGCGAAATCGATAGCAGAGGGGGCGACGCGCGATTAGCTCACAGTTTAGCTCGGACAAAAAGAGAAGTGTATTTTTCCGCATGCTTTGTAGTATTGGATCGCGGGCGTGCGCGCTCGTCACGCGTTCGCATTCGATACGCGTGGCGCGCATTCAAAGAGCGGCTTTAAAGCGAATAAAAATGCGGCCGCGTTTGCGAGGCGCGAGGCAAAAATCGCGCCTCGAAGGTGAACGTAATTATAGATCAGGAGTGCGCCTGTAATTGATCGATGGGCCGGATTAGCATATAAATCAACATGTAGTGAATCGTAGAAAGAGCCGACAGATCGATAATCATTAGTTGGCGCGGCGTGAAAAAGTGCTTAAGTGTCTAACGGTCGATCGCGGCGCGAGAAATCATTCTTGCCGGGACGCTTTTCGCTCGCGCCGGCGATAACGATCGGAGAAAGAAGAGAATTGGCAATAACGATGCGCGGCGCGTTACAAGGGAGAAAAAAAAGAGGAAAAGAGGAGGAGAAAAATGTAAGGGGATAAAAAGACGACAGAGAGAGAGAGAGAGAGAGAGAGAGAGAGAGAGAGAGAGAGAGAGAAACGCCGCGCTAAACTAAAAGGACAGCACACATCAGCCGTGCCCGCGAGATTGCGCCATGGGAAATGTGTATACGCGCGTGCGTGTCGATACGCCCAACTCGTGTATCAAAGGGAATGCGAAGCGCGCGTGTGTTTTCGGCGAAACAAAATTCGCGAATTTTGGCGTACGAATAAATCTGATTACCGGAAGAGCGTAACGCCGCATAATTAGTGCGCATGAATACCGCGCGTACACTCTTTCTCTTTCTCTCGCTCTCCTTTCACGCTTCTCTCTCGTCTCTTTCCCTCGTCCCAGCCATCTCTCGTCGCGGTGGGATGCCGCTTTTTCACGCGATTTACACATGCATAATGCACGAGAGCGCACGAAATAGTTTGTACAACACATCACGATCAGAACAGTTTGCCATGACGATGCTCACGAAAGAGGGCAATTAAAACGCGATGTAATCGCGCCGTAAAATAACTCGATGCGCGCGCGCTCTCTCTCTCTCTCTCACTCTCTCTTTCTCGCGCGCATAACGCACGTCGCGCTCTATTCTTTTCGTTTTCTTTCCCCCTTACGCACGAGCTTCCGCTCCTCACCCTCATCCCCGCCGCGTGCTCCGGTGCCTGTTGTCCGAGTAATGAAAGTGCGTCGAAATCATTACGCGCGTGAAGAACAGCACCGGCGGAACGCGAACGCACACCGACGCGGGCCGATGAGAGGGAAAAAGAGAAAGAGAGAGAGAGAGAGAGAGAGGACGAGAGAGAGCGGGGTCCACGCGGAACTGCATTATTTATAAGCGGGCGTGCGCAATAAGGACGCCGCGATACGCATTATTGCATCCGGCTACGCGCGGTTACACATCATGATAAACAAGACCAACGCGACGACGCGTGATCGAGCGAGAGCGAGCGATCCGCGACGTGGACGCGTTTCTGCCGATCAGCGCGGATCAGTGGCGCCTACTCTCGTAAAACGACGCGGCGCGTCCAGTTCGTTAGCTACTAAAATCGCGCGTCGCCGTCTTGTCGACTCCCGCGATCGTCGCGCGGACGTGGACGGCCCATAAATTCTGAAATACGACCGCGACCGGGCGCGACGGGGAGGGGGAGAAATTGATCGATTTTATTTACATTGTGCTGCGGCGCACGGCGCTGCGGAGGGCCGAGAACGCGAGGACGTTCAGCGTCGAGTAGAGAAGCGTCGTCGGAGGAAAAAGAGAATGAAGAAATCCGCGAAATTGATAATACACGCGCGTGTGTCGTCTCGGTTCGGCCGCTGGGATTTTCAGCTCCTCGGCGACGAGCCCTTTTCATCTTTTCCATTGCGACACCATCGCGATGACGTGAGCGGTATGGCGCAGTACGATATCATACCGCCGCGTGCGTTTAGCGTGCGTTAATAACAGTCGCGCGAGCATCATATTATTTTCGTTACGATCGAGACGGTTTTTATCAAGTCCCGCGCTTTGTACGCGCGAGGATTCATAATGTCGACGAGAATCAAGCGTCGCGGCGACGTCGATCGAACGCCCGATAGTCACGATGACGCTCCGAGGAGATCTGGAGATAAGTGATGAGGAAATAAAAAAGAAGGAAGAAAGAGAATAAAGGAGCCTCGTACCGAAAATCGCAGTCTCGCGTGATTTAATGAATTCACTATTCTCACGCAAGCCGCGCGTGTATATCCGCTAATCGACTCCCCCAACTCGATATCTTCCCGACAGCATCGCCGGCGGCACAACGAAATTCGATATTATCCTGCCGATTACTCGTACGATCGGCGCACGGTTCGTTCCGTAATACGCGATAAAGATAAACAGGAGGGCAATTTTAACGCCAGCCAGATCGACCCTTTCCAACTTCTCCGGCGGGCGTATTGCGCGCCGTTTTCCACCTTGGCGCGAAACGTAGCTCGCGCTCGTCCTCGTATCCGAGGAACGCTCGAGAGTGTATAGGAGCGTGGTGTAACGTCCTCTAGCTGGTCCAAGAATCCAATAACTGGAAAACGCATTGGAGCGTACGCCCCTCGAAGGCTACTCGAGCTGGCGTTCTCTCTGCGTACCGATTCGCGACGAATATTACGAGGAGCGCGAGGCCCGTCCTCTTACTTCCACGGACGTCGTATCCGCCGATGGAGCAGATAGAAAAGCAGGTCGGTGGAAAACGAGCAATCGGACGAGCATGCCGCACTACGTGAAACGGCGGGGAGAGAACAATTTTGCGTCGTGGATGTACTCACCGGCACAGGAAGTCTCGTTCGCCGAGACAGAGCTCGAGGCAGTGCTGCCGTGAGGAGGCGGTCATGGTCCTGCGTGCGTGACCCTGAAGGCGGTGTCCCTGCACTCTATCGATGCACCAAGCACGTTCGCAGGGCTTCACCGCCAGGCAGCTCTTCTGGGCGTAGATGGTGAACACGGGGAACTGCGACTGCGACAGCGCGCCTAAAACACAAACGTGCCAAAAATCTCGAATCAATCGCACAATCGCTGCAGCAATTCGTCGCGCTCGACGGTCTAAACTGTCGCGTTGCGAATGTTAGCTGGAATCTATCACTACGGGCGCTGGCAATATGAAGGAGGTTCTCTCTCTCTCTCTCTCTCTCTCTCTCTCTCTCTCTCTCTCTCTCTCTCTCTCTCTCTCTCTCTCTCTCTCTCTCTCTCTCTCTCTCTCTCTCTCTCTCTCTCTCTCTCCCCCTCTCTCTCTCTCTATCTCTCTCTCCCTCTCTCTCTCTCTCCCTCTCTCTCTCTCTCTCTCTCTTCGCACAGCTGTGTAAAAAATGTTCCATTTAGCCGATGCGTAGTACCGCTGCTTTTCGAACACAGATTTTTCAGACGTGAATCGCGCTGCGAGTGGCCGGACGCGACGCGTCTGCAGCTACTGTGGCACGGCGCTCCCAAGTAGATACAGACGCGTCGTGTCTGACCCACTCGTACGCGATAGCCGCAGCGACAGCGCATCCGGGACCACTTATATAGCGCGGCACACTCGCAATTCGGATGTGCCGAAGACCGAGATTAGAAAATCATTTAATTCTTCTTTGCGTGGCGAAATTATTCTTCATTTTTGCCCTTGGGAAAATCGCAAGCTTTGAACGTGCGAGAAAGTAGAGTATGAGAAAGTCATGTGTCATTAATTTTTGTCTACGATATTTCCAAGGCTTATTGTTGGAAAAAATCGCTGGGGGGGCTCTGCCCGACTAATGTATTTTCTCTGGTCAGTCAAAACAATCCCCGCGGAACATACGTCGTTCTTTGTTATTTTATTTCGATAACCGCGTCTCATGCATAGCCCGATGGGTAGTAGAGTGGAGTGTACTGTTATGTCACTCACGCTCTATGTGCATGCGATTTTGGTATTCTATAGTTGTCGGCTTCGGCTATATAATTTTGATAGATCAGCGCGTTTATCATCCACCCCGCCGCGACAACCATGTTCTTCGCCGGTTATTGGCCCGCGTCGCGATAAGCGACGAAGTAGGCACTCCACCCACGTCTCGTCATACGTCATCCACTCTTTGCTAAATCGTAATTAATCTCCGCTATGTGACGGCAGCTTCGATCGTGACTCGCGGAAAACTTGCCTCAAGTTTACTGTTGGGAAGAGAGGCGGTGAGTAACGCGATAAGGGATGAAAAATAGTAATAATAATAATAATAATAGTTGAGCGGGAAATATTACACCGAGACGCGCCTCGAGAATATTTCCAAGCGATTTTCGAGCCAAAGGCACGCGTGTGTGTGCGCGCGCGTGTGTGCGCGTGTAAGTGTGTGTGCGCGCGTGCGAATTAACCGCGAGGGAGGCGTGTGATACACCGACGCTTTGACACGGGACGTAAATTAGCAAATAAACAATTAGAAAACACGTTTCACAGAAAACGGCAAAGGTACAAGATTACGTAACTCAAACGGGACGACATAATGAGATATCGATGTAACGAAGGAACGTCCCGAGAGATAGAGCGCCCGAGCAGGGGAGAATTTCTGAAGCGGGACGAATCGAAGCGTCGGCGCGTCGATCCTCAAAGAGGCGCTAAAGATATTCAATTACCCGCCATCAGCGGGTCGCGCCTTGCGCGAGGCCGTGCGCGAGAGAGCTCTAATGCCGTTTTTAACGGCGCGGACCACGGCGAGATTGTGGTCAGTCCGGGACTCTGCGGCCACGGGCATAGATGGATTCTTCGCGAGCGGTCGACCGCGCGCGCTCGAATTACCCGTGAAACTTCAAATTGTAGGAAGACGTTACTTATTGTAGACCGAGGCGCGTAAGCGGCATTATATGGCCATCAATGCCCACTTCCGGGAGCGCGCACGCACAGGACACAAGGTGCCACTTATTCTCTCATAATGCTATCGCGTTATGCGATAATGGAGTATCGCCGGGTATCTTCAGTACTTGGGCCAGGTACGGACGGAACTTCGTTGGAAGCGCTTTGTTTAACTTCCCGTCCGCTTATCTCTTGCCACCTACACTTCCTCCCTCTCCTCCTCCTCCCCCCTCCCCCCTCCCCCCCCCCGCCGCCTTGCTCGCCTCCGTGCCCGTTCGCGGATCTTTCTTCCGTCCCGTTCGCATAGATCGAAATCCGCTTAGGAAAGGGAAAATAAGAGATACGCGAAAGGGAAAAAGTCGCGAGGATAAGAAGCACAGGATAATAACGGGCGAGTGATGGTGGCTGAAGGAGCAAAAGAACTTTTCCCCAACTCCCCTCTCCTCCTCCTTCTTTCGCCACATACACACACACGCGTACGCAACGCGTACGGCCCTCTCTCCGCGAGCGCATGTATTAATCGCGGACCTTCGCGCTCGGAGATATGATTTGTGACCTCTGTCCGGGGCCAATTAGAAAAGCGTGAAATCGTTATTTCGATCGGCACGGAGCGCAATTTACCGATTATCCAGCCGACATACGCGCGGCGTATACGTGAAACATCGCTGCAACATGCACTCTCTCTCTCTCTCTCTCTCTCTCTCTCTCTCTCTCTCTCTCTCTCTCTCTCTCTCTCTCTCTCTCTCTCTCTCTCTCTCTCTCGCCGATCAACTCCATCGTTTCACGTGGAACGCGCATTTGTTAGCTATATCCGGTCCACGGAAAGGTGGGTTACGGGGGGAGGGAGGGGAAGGGGGAGAAGGGCAGAAGGGGTGTGCGTACCGCGCCGCTATCCATCGGCGGTATCGTTCCCTGTTTTTCACCGTTCGTTTAACCACTTAGCTTCCACATCGCTCATTTCGCTCGTGAAAAATACGCGTGCTTCGCTTGTGCGTGCGTGTGCGTGTGTGTGTGTGTGTGTGTGTGTGCGCGCGCGCGCGCGAACGCGACGCGCGTACCGTACGTATGGCCTTGCGCGCCTTGAGAGAAATGGGCATCTGCCAGCTCACGCATAAACTAGCCGCCGACCGTTAATCGAGATTCAAAATGCAGGAGTTAATGCAAAGTGAGCATTTACAGCGTGCGTGCGTGCGCAAATAACAGAAACGCGAAGACACGTACCGTTATCGCAATGTTCGCGCCGCGCCGCGCCGCTACAATCTTAACGAAGTCTGCAAAACGCACTTGTCACGAGGTACCGACGAGACGTGACCACGATCTTCGATGCTGTCACGAGCTTGGATACTGATATTCCGCGAACGTGACGTTCCTCAGCGGCGGCGAAGAAAAAGGAAAAACGAAAAAAAAAAGAATGCGTTATCCTCTGCCTATCGAGAAATGACTCGGCGTACCGGCGATTATCGCCACGTTGACGCTCGCAAATTGCACACTTCCAGCCAGGCGATTTGGTGATCATAATTTATGGCCTCCGACTTCTTAGATCCGCTGTGGACACCGTCGACAGGGACGAAACGTCTTGATAACGCGTCGCGGCACGAACTCACGTTTTATCCTCTCGACGAGTCTCGCTTTCCCTGTTTCTTCCTTCACTCCTCCCCCCCTCTCTCTCTCTCTCTCTCTCTCTGTCTCTCTCTCTCTCTCTCTGTCTCTCTCTCTCTCTCTCTCTGTCTCTCTCTCTCTCTCTCTCTGTTTCTCTTCTCTCGCCGCATCTTGTATTCCTATCATAAATACTCGAAACGCGTCCCGCGACTCGCCGTCGCAAGGCGGCGAGGTAAGAAGGAGCAAAGAAAATCTCCACACACGCGGCTTGTCACGATGTCGCGAAGCACGAGAAATGGTCGGGGCGCATCTGCAACGGAGTAGTGCGCACCGGCGGTATGATGCGCCTCGCCGTGTGCAACGCGGCGCGGCGGCCATCCCACGAAATGACGTACGTAAACCGTCCCCCCGTACCTACCGGAGCACCTCGAGGAACAGTTCGATTTCTGATATACGAGGCACATTTAGATACGATTCAAGCTCAAGTGGCATCGGCTACGACGTTGCCCGTCGGCGCGCCGAGTCTCTGATGTATAATCTCGGTTCTCGATTCCAGCTCTCGTGCCCGCCTCTTCCCGCAACTCTGTCTCTTTCTCTTTACCTCTCTCTCTCTCTCTCTCTCTCTCTCTCTCTCTCTCTCTCTCTCTCTCTTCCTTCCCCCGCGTGTTCCAACAAAGGCAATGAGATTCCTTTTCTACGTGCAGCTAGAAGTTTCAGCGATCTACAGCGGCGAATGTCACTGCTCGCGCGGAATATATACGTGCGCGCGCTATGAAAACCTGTTCGGGAAGCGCGAGATCGTTCTGCCGCAGGTGGCACGATGAAATCGTAAATAAGTGGAAGTAAGCTACACCCTATTGGTTCCGCATTGCCGTTAACGCTCCTTTTTCCGACGTGTTTATCAATCCCGCTCGCGCCGGCGCGGCGCGGCGCGGCGCGGCGAGTTCCAGGCAACGACCGACAATGTCGGCTGGCGGCGGCGAAAGCTCGCCCCGCCGAAGTGATCGTGTCGCTTTGATCGAGATAATACGGTCGTCCCGGCGAATCGAGCGAATTACGACGGAGACGTCGCCGTGCGCGTTTTGCGGAACGTCGAGAGAGTCGAGATCTCGTTCGCGCAGATACCGGAGATACCGAGATCCTTGCGCGTTGAGTTTCGCGTTGCGAGACTACCACGTCTCGCTTGCGTAATAACGGCGAGCGAATTGGATCTTAAATTAAACGTACACTCACTCGGCCGGCTTTCATTCACTTCTTGCGGGAGCAGCGAGAACGCTCACTCGTATATGCTCGATCGCGCCACTATTACTTTCTCCGCTCAGTGCGAGTTTTTAACCTTAACCTTAACCCGGTTCCCCACCTTTATACGCTCCATTCACCCGCAATTACGTCGCTGCCAGCTATCTCTCGCTCTCTTAGCACTAGCACGCTGTTGTTCATTATCCGGGTCCACCACTCCGAGAGCTCGACCCGTACCGATCGATCTTGGTTGTCGAAACATTTCTTTTCGTTGCTTGCACGACGCCTGAGGACACGTTCGCGCGCGTGCCCATGAAAAAATCTCCACAGAATAATCCCC